TAAATCGGGCTCCATGCGTTGTATCCGAACTCGGATCCAATTTCCACACTGAAAAGCAGAAATAGCTTAAATCAACACTCGGTCTATCAAATTATTTGGAAAGACATACGGCTAGCAGAGTACTCTCACATAAGAACGGTTAATTTCTAGGAATATTGGAAAGATAAGTGTGTGATCAACAGATGTTCCCTGAACAGTAACTTGACTATATCACGTTAAACAGAAAACCGGTCACCCAATATATAGTTATAAACAAATAATTCAAAATGGCAAGAAAAAACATTACGATAGAATAATGTGAATTCCGTTATTTCTCTGTTTATTCTGACGTAAGTACGCGAAACAGCCGAATTCAATTTATCCTGTCGAATATTGTTCTTTCTTGCCACTTTAAAATTTGCGAAGGGAAAGTTTCGTATGAAACATGCACATAAAAATAATTCTTCCGAATGGAATCCATTCGGGTAGTTTGTATTAGGATGCGAGTGAATGTGGTGAAGAAACGAATCACAGGCATGTGATTTTTCCCTTTTGAATTACGGGCAACCAGCGAAACGTTAACGTCCGGCAAATAGCCCATAAACACGTACTTGGTACGAACGGAGATTCTCACTCATCTTCGGCGGTAGGTCAGAAGTCCAATGCGTAGACACACACACACGCACACAGGGCATGCCAAATGTAAGCTATCTTCCACAATGGCCGCTGGGATAGACTATCATAGTGTACGGTCCATTTAAATGTCATCAAATATGCAGTGTTTTACAAGGAACAGGCTACTTGCGCTCGCGTGATGCTTTGTCCAGGTTTGTGGATTCATGCAGATAGTACAAAAGGGATCTGAAGGTTTTCACTCATGAACCATTCAACTGAAGCACATGGAATAGGTTCATCCGTTCCGGAAGATGAAGATGGTGCGCGATCTTGAAACAATTTGACGGAAACTGGATGGGTTTATCTGGCGTCAATCTTTTCCAATGGTCATTTGCTAAATCTCAAAAGAAATCTATTTAGATAAAAAGGGATACAGCTGATTCGATGTTGCTTCTAGCTTTAATGGTATTTCCCTCATCTCTGTGAGAAACCGACCAAGCGAAGAGTCAAGTCAGTCTAGGCAGAAATGTTATTCGCATACATGAATAAAGCCTATAAAAAGCATAGATCATATTTCTCATGATTCTGAGAACCGAATTGGAGAACAGAGAGGCCAAGTTTGATTAGACAACATGATGATGCAAATCGCATTTGGTAATTGTAAGAATGCGGAGGATCTGAAGTTCGGATCGGCAGATGTTCTGATTTGCTCGCCGAGCTGAGCGAATTGTGGTGACCAAATTGCTCAGCAAGTCAATACCTTGTACTCTGTGATCTTGAATATTGAATCAAGAGGTAGCAAGAAGTTTGCTTGTACTATTTCATTGGAACGATTGACGAACGCGTGTTAGCCAGTTACGGAACTAACGAAAAGGTTTTATGTGACTATTACAGCAGATGCTTTATGAATCGTCATCCTCGCATTACTGGCCAAACTAAATTTTACTTACATTCAACTACCCACAGCGAGCCACGTACTGCTGGCATCTTCAGATTCTGCTCTCTCACCCTCCTAAGTAATTGCAATAAAATTATTCTGATGCACAAGCTACATGGCCAGCGAGATTAGAAAGGATCGTTGGATATGTTCTGACTGGAGCAAGCTTTTTACATCATTCATTTTAGGAGAGCATCCTGTGTAAATTGCCAATCCCGGAAGAGGTAATCTGAATTAGCAACATGTCGACATTACCCGAGCTTAAGCACAGGTAATCCAATAAAGTGGTGCTTAGTAGATTAGAAATACTTCTCATTCTTTTGGACACAGTAACGCAGACAGTTGAGGATGGGCGGTCTTGATGCTTGAGCCATAAGCACTATAAGCTGTGATGCCGTTTGGGCTACGCAGCTAATTGGTTTAGTCTAACCAGACTAAAGTCGAATGCATTAAGACAAAGGAGGGGATCCCAGAGCAACAACTATCTTAAGAATTACTCCAAGACACTTTCAACCGGTCCGTCTTCATGATCGCTCCACACTAGTTTCAACAAACTCCCGGTAAAAGCGCACATTTGCAAGCAACATACTGATTCAGTGATTGTCCTAGAAGAATTTACTTTTTGTTCTTTACAGAGAAAGTAAGACCCAATTTAGGATATATTAAATGCGCTGACTTCAAATATCATGTTAGTTTTCTTACATCTACACTACTTTTCGTGATACCACTTAAATCCCTGCTTTCTTTAATTTTATCGTACAAAGCTTCAATATTGACAATGAAATTGGTGTAAGAAAGGTCTTATACATGCTGAAAATAGTATTAATCTTAGAAATATTGTTATTTTATGCGTTATTTCTTGAGTAGATCTCATTAACGTTAGCGACTTGCCCCTAAGTCCTAACTTAGTTGGTTAGGCTGTATCTTAAAAATGAGAGCTGATGGAACAAAGTGGAGTTCAGATTTGGAATCGACATCGAAAATATGTCCTACTGGTTGACATCGTTTCACAGTAAATAATGTGTTGGCAAGGTTCGCATTGTTAGTCACTAAAGCACCTTATTTGATATCATTCCTGATTAGTGCAGCTGTTTATCGGTAGACCTATTATAAAATGATTGAAACTAGTGACCCAGAGGTGAGTACCAAATTCCAAATCTATACGAAATCACTCACTCGTAGTACGGCCAGTACGATACGGGCAGTGCCGGCCTGGACAGCCACTGTGCTAATGGTAGTTGTGGTAGGGTATCCATCGGAGAATTCGGACGATGCTGATGAACAGTCGTTATCTGACATGTTGGGAATGAATAGATGACGATAGAACGCAGACTCTGTTTGGTGGGCTGTTCCGCTGATATCAGCCCTCCAAGACAACAGGGAAATGTGAAACTGGGTTCACTGAAACTGGGGAGGTAACCGTGAATAAAATCCGGAACAGTGTATATTCGTTCAGATTAAAGGTAGTGAAAATCCAATGAAAGGAAACTTGGTCACAGTGCATAAACAAGTACTTTGCAAACCACGCAAGAAATTTTGCATGAATGAACACCTTTAGTCTTCAGCTTTACTTCGTGTTCCTCTTGGGTTCGTCTAATATATACCTGCCAAATGGGCGGTAATAAATATGACGCCGTGTTGGTTTGTTGATGTGACACTACCGTATCAGCTGTAGCTGTAATTTGCGATGCCGTGCACCATAGGGGAACGTAACAGCATCCCAGTAATTCCGGACGTGATTGGATGGCACAGCATCCCCCCGGTTTTGAACAGGATGACCATTTGTGCACTCTGTGTACACGGCACATACGTCGGCACGCATAGGCGAATGAGGCTGGTGCTAATTTCGTGTGCATCCATACTGTTCAAAAGTGGTTTGGCTCCCTGTAGTGACCCTGGTCGGAATGCCATCCCACGCGCACAGGCTCCGCTTCTGTGAAGTCCCGAAAGTCCACGCGCACCGTATCCCAACACAGGCCCAAACGCACACTTTGTGCTGTCGAGGTCGATCAGCTAGCACTGCCAGGTCAGCATTGCGGCGACGGGCTGAGGTAATTCAACGGGGTCGATTAAGTGGATCGATTTGTGCGTAGGTAAACGTGGGACAGAAGTGAAGGAATGTGTGATGCGCTAAATTAGGCAACTACGGTTGCGCGGTACGTGTGAATCAGATGTGTGAAATAACACCATCTGAACAGGAAGTGATAATTCACCTTAGAGGACGTCTTGTTCAACACACACAATCTAACTTCATACATGCGCGGCACATAATGTATGTAAAGCAAATAATATTGCCCTGTGTGAACCATCAGAAGTAGGTTTGAATTCTTTACCGAATGAACAAGATTGCAGTAGTTTGTGAAGGCTTCAGAAAAATACCCAATTGGTGGAATAATTAAACTTTCGGGCTTCATACAGAAATATCTGAACCAAATATTGTGGTCTTGCTACGTATCATAGCTGAGCTGTTAGTACTGCCGACTGTAAGAGTTCTTTTTAAACACACAAGATTATAAATAACTAATTTCGATCAACAATGAACCAGACAATGTTCACGGATTTAACGGTTCTTTCCATACAGAAGGAACTTGCTGATGGATTGAAATTTGTTAGTTTCGTCGATAATTTTGCCGCAAGTAAAGCACGAAAAGTGTATTCGTAAATTTTGTGTACCAGTACTGTAATAATGCAAATGTGTGCGCTTTCGGGCAGCATTCTAAAATTAGCTTTTCGTTTGTTGTTCCATGAAAGGAAATATTGAAGGGTAGTCCGCAGCTGTGAGGGTTTACGAATTTACAACTGCCAGGTGGGTTGGGGAGAAAATATTACGACCGCCCCATGTGCAAAGAGAAGTTGTGCAGCAACTGCTTAATGTTATCCCTCCAGCCAGTCATTTGCAGCTGTTTCAGTATTAAAAGGTATCTTTTATTTCCGAAAAGACTAAGTGTAGAATACAACTTCCAACACTACCAACTCACCTTAATTGAGCATTAAAATATTCCTGCTTTGTCTACATACTCACACCCCTTTAAATGGACAGGATGCATAGTATTTTCCTACGATCTTTAAATATTGCGAAGGGATAATTCCGTTGTTACTGAATACAACTTTACCCATGCACTTGCCTCTAACTTTGGATCTGTCTTGTTGTACCCGTGTTTCTTAAGTGCGCACAAAATTCGATTTGTCAACCAGTATTTATACTTAAATTTTTGTGATGGTTTAGACCAGTGGTGCCCCTGAGTCCGCTTTCAAAATTGCGTCATGAATCAAGTCCATACATGTAAATTTGTGTTAAGTTCAAAAAACAGGTTTTGAATATTCTGTTAAATCCAGGATTCTAAGAGTTTTACAAATGGCGAATTTTTAATTGCAATATTTAATTCATGAAAATACTGAATACTGAATACTGAATACTGTATTATAGAGCAAGTAGAAATGGATTCTGTACAACTCTTTCGAAATATGGCGAAAAACGTTATAAATTTGTCAACCGTGAATATCATTATCGTTCTCATGTAATATTTAAAATACTCGACTTACGATATTTCAGGATTCACAAGTGTGATATGTCATCGTAAGTGTGCAGTCGTTCTCTGAAGCGAATAGAGGCAAAATACAAATCTAACAACGTTTTGAACTGCTGCACAGAGGTTGCCTCAATCACATGTTCGGGCAAACTGTTCCAAATGTTTACCACTCTCCTTTCGAAGCACAGTGGGTGGGGAACACATTTCATATCCGGCACGACAAGTTTGTATCTGTGTCCGCGTGTGCTGCATGGTCCTCGTAAGTGCAGTATTGGTCTTAGCATGGGGAACTCACCAAGATGTAGAATTCGGTAGGTCATAATGAGGTCGACTCGCACCCGACGGTAGGATAAAGTGTAGAGCCCTAGTTTCTCGCACCGGTCTTCATACCCGAAGCCACGTAAACTCGGGATGAGCCTGGTAGCAACGTGTTGGACCCGTTCGATCTTTTGTGCCTCGCCTCGGGTAATCGGAAAGTAGGCGGGCAAACCGTACTCTAGCATTGGTCTAATGATAGAAGAGAACAAGCGAGTGGCAACCTCTTCAGACCATGTGCCAAAGCAACATTTGAGCGCCCAAAGCATGCGCAGTCCGTTCCGATATAACCTGTTCGTGTTGTCCACGGACTTCAAATCGTAGCGTGCATCGCAACACATATGCCAGCCAACACGCATATCAACACGTTCAACCTCGTCCTGTCTCGACCTGATGTTAACGAGCTACGAACAACGAGTGCGTGACGTTAGGATCCTGGAGCCCCTGGCTACGAGCGACCACTCAGTACTGATAGCTGATATGGAATTATCTTTGCCGTATTCACATCCGCTGCAACCAGCTCCCAACTACTGGAAAACGGACTTCGATGGTCTAGCTCGAGCCGCGAGCCAACTGGATTGGTCTCTGTCACAAGCTGCATCTGTGGAAGACTGTTGGATATTTATAAAAGAGAGATTGACATCATTGTGTTCCCAATTTGTGCCATTGAAATGTCGAAAGGTTGGACCCATTAAGCCTCATTGGTTTGATAAGGAGTATGGAAACCTGGCTCGGAGGCGTCGCAGACTGTGGGACAAATTCCTTCTCTCTGGCTCTACCAATGATTACGAAGGGTATAAATGTCAGCGGAACCTCTGCAACAGTGCGAAAAAGAACAAACGCCGACACTTTGAAGAGCAGCTCGCATTAGCCGCGAAGACCGCCCCAAAGAGAATCTTTGCATACGTGAAGCGACGCCTGAAGCCGGCAGGTGATGTGCCAGTGCTGGATGGCACGGATGGACAGCCCTTAACCTCCAGCACTGAGCGTGCGTCCGCGTTGGCGGCGCACTTCGCTTCTGTATTTGCGAATAACCAGGTGTCTGTTCCGAGTTCGACGTGTACCGCTTTTACCGAACTCGATAGTCTGCAATGCGGCGTTGAAGAGGTAGCTCAACTACTCGCCAACCTTGACGGCACCAAACCTGCCGGACCTGATGGGCTTCACCCACTGGTTCTCAAGTCACTTTCAACCATCCTCTCTCCTGTCGTGACTGGCCTTTTCAACAGGTCGCTGTCCGAAGGTTCGTTGCCGGTTGACTGGAAATGTGCGGTGGTGAAGCCTATTCCGAAAGGCGGCGACCTTAGCAAAGTAGACAATTACAGGCCAATTTGTCTGACACCTATTTTGGCAAAGGTTGCTGAGAAAATCGTGAAGAAGAGATTGCTGCAGTTGCTACAGTCAAAAGAGGTCCTGACGCCCGCACAGCACGGTTTTATGCAAGGTCGCTCATGCATTACGAACCTGCTTGTGACGAGGCATGAGTGGTTGAAGGCAGTAAACAAGGGGAAGTCCGTCGACGTGATATTCATCGATTTCAGTAAAGCGTTCGACAAGGTCAGCCATGAGGTTCTCCTTCACAAACTCAGCATGTGTGGTGTCGGTGGCTCTCTGCACCGGTGGATCAGCGACTTTCTTGTTGGACGAAAGTGGAGAGTACAGGTCGATGACCATCTAACTGACTGGTACCCCTCTACAAGTGGCGTGCCTCAAGGCACTGTGCTGGGGCCCACTCTGTTCCTGATCCACATCAACTATCTACCGCAGCTTCTCCGGTCGCCGTGTGCCCTGTTTGCGGACGACATGAAGATTTGGAGAGAAATCGACGCTCCCGATGACTGTGGCCTACTTCAGCAAGATCTCAACCGCTTATCCACATGGTCTGCAGAAGTTCTTCTCCCGGTCAACCCAGCCAAGTCCGTATTTATGAGCCTGGGGAAGGGTGCTAACGGCCGAACCTACACTCTTGACGGCCAAACGCTATATCCCACACCCTCCGTGAAGGACCTAGGACCTACGATGTTTGGGAAAACAGTTTAACTGAATTTTTGTCTTTCGTAAATGTCGCAAACTATTTAGTGTAGACGATAAGCATAATATTCAGCTGACCGAATTGTAATTCCCTAGGAATAAAAGAGATGAAGGCAGAAATATGACAAGTAAATTCGTTAGCTGTCTCCTTTTGAACGTGATGCGGTAAGTGGTGGTGCGTATCGGACTAGACAATTTTTACTCAGTATTTGGTGTGGAAGCTATTTTTTAAGCTTAAGTTTCTGTCATCAGATCTCTGACAATAACCTTGCTTCTGATTTGAAAACTGGTTTATTTAAGTGGGACAAAAGGCACCTTATACGTAGTCGCATGCATTTTTCACTTCCTACAACCTACCAAATTGCAACAAATCTATGTGGAGTTGAATTCCATTTCATCGCATAAAAAGTCTCTAAATTGGGAACTAAACCGTTCAATACGCAAAGAACGAAATTAATGTTATATTTCTCGACTTCACAGGAGACTGATTTTATGAGGAGTAGATCAATTAGGAAAAATGATGTGCTCACGCATGATTTAATGGGTACAAAATCTAGTTGATAAAATGGTCATCTGTTCAGTTTTTCTATAATAAAATATACGTCTTTACCGTGCAAGAAAATGTTCCTGAAAATCAGTACCGATCAGTATGGAACAATGGAACAATGCTTTTATATGGGTAAAAAAGCTACCGCTTAACGAGTCCCTAGGATGGTAATGGTAAAACTATAAAGTTTAAAGGAAATCGTTAGTAAAATTGGGTTTACACCGGTGAAGTCACTGAGGTATACGTAGTATAAGCTGTAAATCCGAGGTAAATCTATGAGGAATGACGATAAATAGGATACCGGTGAAAATCCTGCTCCTTCAGGTCTACACTTACAGGAGGTGGAAAAGTGAAACGAAATCTGGGCTGTCACCGCCAGTGAAATCTCTTACAGACACTAGCCTTTATCCCTGGGTAATAGAACATGTAAGATGGTGCAGCGAAACAAGTGTACGGTCAGTTTCGGCTTTGAGCTATGCTAGCTTTGGAGCACATATAGCAGATTCTGGTAAGGCCTTCTACATTCTGCAAACGCGTACGGAAAAGCAATTACGATGGCATTCCAAACGACTGTGCTGCTGTGCAAGTTTGAATTGGTGGACTCTCAAA